ATCAAAACCTGCTTAATTCAACTAAAACAATATTTGGGTAAGCAGTCTTTGTTCTTCTTCGGTGGGATCAAGGCTCTCCTCAGGCCACCTCCCCCGTGCTTCAGCAGCCTTGGAGTTTTTCCGTCCCTTGTCTGTGCCAGGAGCTGCGCCCCCACCCAAGGTTTTGTACGTGCTGTTCCCTCTGCCTGAAACGCTGTTCCTTCTTTTAAAACAAGATTCACCGTTGGTCTTCTCTCAAATGTCACTTTCTCTGCCCCACCCCTGTCCCCCAGGGATCGAGTGTCTCAGCCTAAAGCCTGCTGTGTTTATTGCTGGAGCCCCAGTTCCTAGCACATACTCAGCATATAAACGACATTGGTCATCACTCTGCCTCACACTGTGTCAAAGCGCGTGTCTTTGATGAATTTACAGAATCTCTAATCCCAGGAATGTTTCTTAGGGCAAAACGGAGATAACAGTAGTACTTAACCTTAGCTGTCAGCTCTGTGTCACCACCACCGAGTGAGTGAGTGAGTCAGTTAACTTTACAGAGAGAAAAGGTTTAAACCAGATTTGGTGGTGCACACCTTTGGTCCCAGCACTTGGGGGATGAAGGAGGAGGATCTGTAGTCCAAGGTCAGCCCAGGTTACTGGGTTTCAAGAGAGCCCGTTTCAGAGTAGGAGGTGAGGATGAATATGAGTGAGCTTGTTCATCTAAGTTTGGGAGGTCCCAAGTACAAAACCAGGAAGCCCAGTGGCTTGTCCTCTGGTGATGGGGGCACATCTTGACAGGAACATCTCAGAGCATAGCAAAGGGGAAAGGGGAGAGGTAGGGAGGGTCTCATAATCCCTGTGAGACCAAGCACCTACTAAGTAACTTCAGAATGCCCCATTAAATCCCACCCCTTGGTCCCCCACCATCCTGGGCACCAAGCTTTGAACTTAATGTCTGAAGCACACACTCCACCCAGCAGTTCCTCTGAGGACACAAGAAATAAAGCATGAGTGTGACCTGGAACACTGGCACCTGTTAACTGCTGCATAAGTGGCAGCTATCATTGTCAGTAACCACTTCAACCTATGTGCTGAACATGAAGGTCTTCAAATTCCAGTCATATTCTGATGCTATCAGTCTATCTTTAAATTCAGGGCCCTTATCAGGGGGAGGGGCAGGTTCCAAGTAACTTCCCCTGTACACCACTGGCAGGTTCCAAGGCTTACGGCTGAGGGCTGGCAAGCTTCCAAGGCAATCGACCCAGGGAGCCAGTGGGCTGACCTTACATTTTGTCAACTCTAGCAATATCCTTTGAAACAGCCTTCTCAACGTGGCATTCTGTAGCAGAAGCTGCCTCCGTGTTGGGTGAACTGAGTTCTACTGCCTCCCCGTGGCCACAGGGTAGAACCCACATTTCTTAGCTTGAAACCAAATAAAATAAACCTAACACATGAGCTGTTGTGAGCTGTTTTCTCATTTAATTGTTGTTCTCTGGGTTGGGCTACAAGTGTTAGAAATGCAAGAGAAGCCGGGCAGTGGTAACACACACCTTTAATCCCAGCACTCAGGAGGTGGAGACAGGAGGATCTCTGAGAGTTTGAGACCAGCTTGGTCTACAGAGAGAGTTCCAGGACAGTTGGGCTACACATAGAGAAACAAAGACAAGGAACTATAAACAAAGCATATGGCCCAAATCCCATCCTTGTTTTCTAACTAGTTATATTTACAGTTTATTGTTATCTCTTTAAATATTAAGTATTCAATAGCTGGGCAGTGGTGGCCCAAGCTTTACTCCCAGCACTCAGGAGGCAGAGGGCAGGCAGATCTCTAAATCTGGAGGGTGAGGTCCTGCGCTTCCCTCACTGCCCCCTCCTGTCCCCAGAGATACTTCATAGTCATGGAGAGCGTCTTCTACCCTGTCAGCCGCATCTGAGAGCTGAGTCCCTCTGGAACGGATACAGGGTTCCGGCTCCACAGGCAAAGGTGAGTGTGGCGGAGGCGAGGTGGCTCGGTAGTGGGGGCTGCTGGAGGCTGAGGTCCTGCGCTTCCCTCACTGCCCCCTCCTGTCCCCAGAGATACTTCATCGTCATGGAGAATATCTTCTACCCTGTCAGCCGCATCTCTGAGAGCTGAGTCCCTCTGGAAGGGATACAGGGTTCCGGCTCCACAGGGAAAGCACAGTCTGAGGCCCCGAAACTTTGCCTTTAGACCGCCGAATAGGCTCAGCGAGAACAGATCCTCCCAAGTTCCAGTAGGAGGGAGACACTTCTCTTTAAAATGCGTGGGGTTAGCCGGATGGTGGTGTCGCATGTCTTTAATCCCAGTTCAGAGGCAGACGGAACTCTGTGAGTTCGAGACCAACCTGGTCTACAAAGCGAGTTCCAGGACAGGTTCCAAAGCTACACAGAGAAACCCTGTCTAGGGGTGTGCTGAGGTTTGGAGTTGTCGTCCATCGTGATTTAACACACACAGGAACAGTCACATCTGGGTAGATTTGCTTCCAATGGTCTCTGTGTGTGCCTACCCCTCAGGTATGACATCAAAGCCTGTGCTTTAAGCCGCTGGGTGGAGCCAGTCCCCGAGGTCAGCCCCCTTCTCCTGGTGCTGAAGGACCTCAACTTTGAGGGAAAGACCATTTACCTGGGTGAGTCACATGGTCCTTTTCCTCCATTCAGGGCCAGGTTTGGAAGAAGGGGGTCCTTAGGACTGCCCCTTGCCCAAATTCTTAGCAGCCCAGGATTCAAACCCGTGTTCCAGACTTACACAACTTATACAACTGGGGGGTACACGTCACGAAGTGCAGGTGCTCCTCACCCAACTGTGCGGCTACATGCAGTATCTGGTGCAGTACCCACACTCGCTGCTTCCCTGGAGGTTGTAAACAGGGTGGTTGCCTCAGTGGGTCACTTCAGCTACTTGTGGCTTGGCTTTCCAGACAGGCGGAACAGAATCGGCCTGTTCGAGATGCATGATTTTTCAAAATAACACAAATGATCCAATATGGGCTGTGGGCTGCCTCCCAGGTCTCCAAAGACAACCCGCCCAAGGTGAATGGCCAGTCCATCCCACAAGACTCAGACTCCAAGAGGGAGGGAGACCCCGCTGGCTATCTGTCTCACTAACACTGTGACTCTAGGGGTCAAAGGGACCTACCAAAAAGAGGGAGGCAGGAATTGTCAGGAGGCAGAATTTCTGGGCTGGGAAGCTGGAAAGCCTAGGAGGTGTGAGCGACTCCCTGCTTCAGGTGGTGGGTGTGTGCTTCAGGCGGGCCTCTCTATCCCTAGGTCTCAGTACTCCTATCTATATAATGGGTAGAGGGGTTACTACCCCCTGGTTGCTGAGAACCTGGGCCCTGCCAGCTTGTATGGTTAAGAAGGGTCCCCCACCCCCACCCTGCCTAACCCAGCCCATCCTCCCTGGAGCCTGTCAGGCTGGAGCCCATGCTGGCTCAGCAGAAAGGGTCACCTAACTGCCAGCTCAGCAATCCAGTAGGCTGGTGAGCCTGTATGTTGTCTGTGTGTGCACACGTGTACACAGTCCAACCACCGTATGTGGAAGAAATTGCCTAGACCTGCAAAAACTCTCCTGTGGCTCACTGGGACTGAGTTCAGTCTGAAGATACTGTTGGCAGCCCGGCTGGTGGTCCAGTCTCAGCCACACACTTCTTGGCTCCAAACACTTGAACCCTCTCACCCTGCCCCTGGCTACCAGTGCTGAGGACCCTGCTTCTCCAATCCATCTCCCTTCAGATTTCCCCTCAGAGGTCACCTTCCCCAGTCAGCCTTCTCCAGTCTGGCTCTCCCAGGCTACCCCTGGCAGATCACTTGGCTTCAAGGGCCTTTCCTTTTGCTGGGATGAGTGTTCGAGAGATCAAGTGTAGCAGGCTTGAACTCACAGCCTGGTCCTGGAGACTCAGTGGTGGCCAGATAACACACACCCATGGGGCCCTGCCTCAGGTCACGCCCATCCTTCCTCCAGCCCTGGGTGAACCAGAAGCCCAACTGCCCAACTCTGGCTGACAAGACTCGTCGGGTCCCTGTTTGCTAAAGTAATGGACAAAGCTGAGAGTTGTATTCCCAATCTCTGGGTAGGCAATGGCGGACCCTGAATTTCTCTGAATCCCTCTATTCACCCCTGCAGGGACCTCCTAATATGAAGGATTTTTCAGAAATCATGACCCAGGTTCACAAAGAGGTAAGGAGTCCAGGAAGAACTGTCTGCCTTGGCCCCCTCCTCCTCATCTGTGAGTGGGAGCGATGCTTGTTTCCGGAACCTTGCTGGGTCCTGCCTCTTCCAAACCAGGCGCAGCTTCATAAGCCTGGACCCGCGTGGATGGATTCCCTTAGGGCTGCTTTCTCCCGTACAGGGCTTCCAGTTCGAAAGTTTGGCCGGTCCAGCTTTTGCATGCCTGAAGAAACAAGTAGGCCTGAATGAAGAGGACTATCAGGCTACTGAGGGTCCTGGTAACCCCTACATTCAATTCCTCAGCATGTCCAAGAGCAAAGCCAGCTTCTTCCTGTCGTGAGCTTGCAACAGGGGTTGGGGTTGGGTGGAGGCTGGGTTCCAGGCTGGCACCACAGCCAGGGGCAGAGAGGGTCAGGGTCTGATGAAGCCGGGACCAAGAACTAAGGGTAACCCTTACCTTCAAATTCTCAGCACATCCAAAAGCAAAGCCAGCTTCTTCTTGTCGTGAGCTTGCAACAGGGGTTGGGGCTGGGTGAGGGCTGAATTCCAGGCTGGCGGGACAGCCAGGGGCAGAGAGAGTCAGGGCCAGATGAAGGCGGGACGAAGTGAGAGACAGTGGCCAGACACATCCAACCTAGTGCAGAAGAAATAAAGGCAAGAAAGAGACTGTTCTGAACGGCTCCCGCCAAGCCTGGACAGTAACTGCTCTTTCTCACTCGCAGACACGACCAGGGCTTCTTCATATAGACCCAGACACATCACGAAGTGGAGGTCCTGCTCACCCAACTGTGCGGCTACATGCAGTATCTGGTGCAGTACCCACACTTGCTGCTGGCTGGGTGGTTGGGTATGCAGCTTGGGGATGTTCCTAACTGTCAAAGGTTGGGGTTGGTCCTAACTGTCAAAGTGCCTGGGGAGGGCGGGGTCTGGAACGGGGCGGATCCTGGGGCGGGGGGGGCAACGTGGCTGGCTTGGGATGTTAGAGATTTGATTGGGCCGGTGTTTTGGGGGTGGGGCAGCACTGATTGGGAAGGGGCAGGGATTCAGAAGGGAGTCTGGGGGGCGGGACTGGAGTGACAGGCCCAGGTATGAGGTGGGTCTTGAGGAAGATGGAGTGCAGAAGAACTAACAGCAAGAAACAGACCTTTTGGAACGGCTCGCGCCAATCCTGGACAGCAACTGCTCTTTCTCACTCGCAGACACGACCAGCGCTTCTTCGTAAAGACCCAGACACGTCACGAAGTGCAGGTGCTGCTCACCCAACTGTGCGGCTACATGCAGTATCTGGTGCAGTACCCACACTCGCTGCTGGCTTGGTTGTTGGGTATGAGTCTTGGGGCGGGTCCTAACTGTCCAAGTGCCTGGGGAGGGCGGGGTCTGGGAACGGGGCGGATCCTGGGGCGGGGCAAAAAGTGGCTGGTTTAGGATGGAAGAGACTTGCTTGGGGTGGTGTTTAGGTGTGGGGCAGCGCTGATTGGGAAGGGGCAGGGATTCAGAAGGGAGTCTGGGGGGCGGGACTGGAGTGACAGGCCCAGGTATGAGGTGGGTCTTGAGGAAGATGGAGCAGGGAACTGCAGTCACATGGATCCGCGGTTTTGGAGCTGGAGGCCTTCTCCTCTTTCAGGCATTTACAGTCTGCGGGTGGCCAACCGGGCAAAGGTGAGTGTGGCGGAGGCGAGGTGGCTCGGTAGTGGGGGCTGCTGGAGGCTGAGGTCCTGCGCTTCCCTCACTGCCCCCTCCTGTCCCCAGAGATACTTCATCGTCATGGAGAATATCTTCTACCCTGTCAGCCGCATCTCTGAGAGGTGAGTCCCTCTGGAAGGGATACAGGGTTCCGGCTCCACAGGGAAAGCGCAGTCCGAGGCCCCGAAACTTACCCTTTAGACCGCCGAATAGGCTCAGCGAGAAC